ACTTAAAAATAGTAACAACCAACTACATGTTATCATTAATACTCTTAAAAAGTAAGTTTCTTTTTCAAAACAAAAATCATTAGTGAGAAGAATAGCAGTGATTTTAATTTCTGCAAATCTCTTTTTGGACTGGTGAGAGCTGGATTCTCCTATCTGCCTCTGCATCCCCGTTTTGTGATATCATAGGCCAGGTTTTCCCTGGAAAACCCCACCCGGGAGAGCAAGAGTGTGCAAAAGGCAGGTGACACCCTGGCGTTTCTGCAAAAATGGTCTTGCACCTCAGGGGCCCTTGGACACACTTTGATAACTGCTGCCCTATGCTAGGCAAGACTTCCCTACACAAGAGCCAGGCAAGGGTCCTGGTTTCTGTAATGAGTTACCACCGCCACACCCCTCCCTTCTCTGTGTTAGTGTTTCCCACAACCTTCCCTACTGTAGATGAAGATGTAATCCTCAGCTGGGGCCTCTAATCCCAGAAGACTGCCAACCCCGAGAGGAAGGGGCCCATCTCCCATCCCTAAACCCCGCACAGTCTATTTTGAGTCAAGCCCTAGATAACTGCTGATAGGCACTGACCCTTGTGTTCTATTCCTGAGGTTTCTCAAATGAACCAACATCTGGATGGAACTGAAATTTCCCTACAGATAAACAAGGCTGATAAACTACCCCATTCCAACATCTGATTCTGGGGCTCTTCGAAATCCGGGCAAGGCCCCGCTTCATTTAAGAGGGGCCCTCCGCCTGCCCTTCCCGGGGGGCTCTGGGAGGCTGCGGCAGCTCAGAGCGACCCGGACTCGCACCCCGGGGCCCCACCGCCCGAGGGGCAGGAGAGCCCGAGGCGCTGCCTCAGCCCTGCCCCACCGCCGCCACCCCGACCCGGGTCCCACTCCGGCCGCCACCCCCACCCCGGTCGCACCCGGGTCCCTGCACACCGGCCCCGCCGACTGCGCGGACGCACGTTTACCGTCTGTGGGACACCGCCCCCGACAGGATGTCGGCCGCCGACTGAACTCGTCGCCCGAGACCAAGGCCGGCTGCCAGGCCGCCACCCCCAGCAGCAAACGCCGCCATGGCAGCTGACAGCTACCCACTTCTGGAGATTGCGCGTCACCCCAGAAGCGCAAGCCGGCCCTCGGGAGGGCGGCGCCTGTAGCCACTGCAATGCCGCGGGGCCCTCCCCAAGCGCTTGCATAGTGCATCCTCCTGAGGCTGGATGTCCCGGGGGCAGAACGTGCGGAGCCAATGGGG